CCTTGATATTTTCTTGGTTGCGTCCGTGCCTTTAATCTGTACAATTTCGCCGTCATTTATCCACATGTTCCGCAGAAGGACATTAGAAAAGGAAATAAAAACCAATTAACTAAGGTAGCACAAAGAGACGTGACGTCATCAGACATGCATGCACGCCCTGTGCAGACGATATTATGGTTCTCCCTAACACTCACTCCCCATCAGTGGAGACGCCACGAGTATGTTGATGATCTAGCTTGGTTTTCAGCAATTACTGAAACTCGGGGCTCAAAAAGCTGTTCACTTGGTTCCAATCTTAAAAATAACACTACCATGCTACACCTTTTGTGCCTCTGTCAAAAGCCTTATTTTTTCAGGGTTTAGATATGTTATTGATGGAAAATTATATTCGAAGAAGTGTGCTTAGACGCGTGAATATGTTGTAACGCAGTATTTGGTTTCAGTACGCACACTGTACTGAGATAAGAGTTGAAATTGTTCAACTAATTAAAATTAAGGTTAGGCACAAGCTGGTATGTAATATCCCGGCTTCTGCGTGGTCTTCAAAGCTATCTGAAATTTACGACATTTGATCACCTGAATAAATGATGACAAATTGGCACCGTTTTTTAGCACAAATATATATATATAGGAATGTCATCAAGAGTATATATACGGTATTTTTAGCTACAGTGGCATGTTTTTCACTCATATAAACAAGTTTATCATGTATACAAACAAAAACAAAGAAAACGAACAAGTGAATGTTTATATAATCAAGGTTTTGTTTATTACCACTGCATAATTTATTTGTAATACATGTGTATTACGGTTTTACTTGACTTAATTAATAACTGTGAAAATGAAGCGACCGGCCCTTTTGATATGGAGCCGTCCACGTTACTAGACCGGTTTATTATGAAAATTTATAATACTATGATACAAACACCAAAATAGTTCTGGGGATAAAAAATCCCGAAAGATCGCTTCATTGTCATTAAGTGTGCCATTCTTTTTCACATTAAGTGATCATTACGCCAATAGAAACACTACATTAATTGTAGTTATTCTGCAGATGTGGCGAATCGTCACGACCTCTTCTTTGGTTTCAGATGGAGAATTTCCCTTTGTACGCCTGAAATAATCAGAATGGGTTTAGATAAAACATAACAGTGCCTCGATCAGTTCAACAATTAGTTCAATGTGTATTTTCGTGCATCCCGATAACCCGCAGTTACTTTGGTCCGAAGGTGTATACAGAGTACTTGTTCAGAGATATTTTTCGTCTGAACTTCAGTTAATGTTGCAATAGCTAAACGAAAGCAGGAATGCTTACCAGTATTTCGTCGTTCTGGGACCGATAAAGCCTCGGATTAAATAGCCTTCGGACTATCAAGATGCACACTACGTTGACAGGTTGTTATTCTTTAAAACAATCAGCAATTTTGTTATTTTGATGACAGTATAGTGTGAATATGCCTCCTTAAAAAGTAACTGACATCCAAATGTTTGATATCCATACTGAACTTAATTTTATTTTTGTTACACATTTACAGAAGAATTTAAAATACATTATGACATAATTATTTTCATTAAATATTTAGTGCAATAAGTAAAGTTTATGAATGAAAAAAATACTTTTAAACTAAAGACATGTATGTTTATACCTATTTATAAACTCATAACTAAGTACAACAAGGCAAGATTTAGTGAGAACACGCATTACTGATATTATTTACTTTTTATTCAAAATAACAAGAAACTGCAGTGAACTTTGTTTTTGATTTGATAAATAAGGGTAAATTTGAAAAGATATTATATTTCCAAAATTAATCTTTATTGTTGGAAAATCAGACTGTTTGTTATCACTTAAACATCTTTTGAAATAAAAAAATATTTTTCAAGACTGCGAAATATTCTCTGCAGTTTACTCTACTGAAATATTATATACATCTACAGGTTATTTCTCTACAGCACATGTGTCACTCTATCAACAATTTTTTATAATGGAAATCCTACAGTATTTGTAGAGCCCAGGGCATTGCTGGAGATGAGGGGGGGGGGGGGGAAGGTAAAATGTTTACTTTGCTTCACTTGACAAACAAAATATGGAAAATGAGGACGATTTCCCTATATTATGCAGAACACAGGATGGAAAAATTATTGCTTGGACATATCTCACTTGTATGATTATTATTTCATATTTTCTTTTAGGGGGGGGGGGGAGGGGGTATCTCAAAGCTTAAGGCTGGGCACATGCTACCTATCCCCCTGGATCCACCAGTACATAATAAAAAAATTACATCCGACTCATGCAGAATGCTACACAATAATTGAACTGTTGCACTCACCATCAGTGAAAGTCTTCACCACCTCAACATCAAGTACGGCATTTTTGGAGACCAAGTCTTGGAAATTCTGTGTGCTCCCACCAACTCCAAAATAACATGTTTTAGCAGCTACATATCTATGACAAAGTCAAGGCAACAAAAACTTCCGTATGACAATTCTTATTCAAGTGATCAGAACAGTGCAGGAAAAAATAATTAAAAGTAATTACATAAACTAATAAATAACTGATGAACTGGTGAGGAAAGGACAAATTATAGTATCTGTGTTGATCAAAGGTAAAATACTGGTTTACAAATTTTTCGTAAAACTTTTATATCTATGTATGTACAAGATCTAACAAGGAAACACTGTAAAATAAGCACATAGGCACGTGCAATTCGCAATGTATCTGTTCAGCTGATAATTAATTTAGTATTTTCTGAATGATTAAATGGATGTGAGTAACAGTCAGGATACATGTCACCATCATCTTTTATCAGCTCCTGCAGACAGCTCAGCAAGCTTTGTTGGGACTCCAGACTGTAGATAGTCTCTGATGTCAGGATCAAGTCGTATCTAGTTAAGAAAAAACAAGCTGTCACAGTTATGTAAGGTTATAGATGTCTGCCAACAGTGCAGGCTGAGTGTAAAGTCTTGACTCAGAGGTGAAACGAAACATTTTCAGTTACAATCTGTATCCTTTTCTTGGTTGTGCGTGGTTTTGAGACTCTTACATAAATTGTATCCCCAGTATAGGATTTTGTGTGGTTTCTAATAATCAGGCACAATAAAAGCAATTTTAAAAAAGGAAGATTTCTAATAAACAGGTACAATAATAACAAATAATCAAAAGATAACAAAAACAAAAGATGCATAATAACAGTTATAAAAATATAAAAAAAGACTTTTTACAGTTTGAGGTTAGTTCAGGTGACCATGAGCACTTCCACTGCGGCTATCAATTTGTCCAAATCATACAGCAGAATCCTAAAAATTTCCAAGAAACTGATACAGGTACTTCTTGGAAACAGCGTCTATATTTATCTGATTTAAATATATCAAAGACCTACTGTAACATACAAACAACTGTGCACACAAACAATTTTATCTTGGACTTTCTAAATGAACACTAATTCAACAACTCACTTTTTATTTCGTGAGTTCAGCAGTTGTAGCACCATGCTCCAGTCCCCAGCGTAATAGCCGCATCTTTCTCTGCACCACTCTCCATGGTCTGGTGGAGTGTTGAGGAAAACATTGCACATGGTCACATACTGAAGAACCTCTTTATTCTACAAAAATAAATAAATAAACCAACCAAACAGTTACAAAATCAGCATTACTCTGTATGAGGTAATGCAATACAATGAAGTGACACCTTTAACACAGTTTTAAAGGTCCAAGGTAATTTATAAAGGCACTAAGCATCAATTATCCACAAACTTCTAAGTTGAAGAGCTTATGTTTTTATCAAGGCATTTCTCAATATAAAACTAAAATGATCTCTCAGCCCTCTCACACTAAAACACAAAACTATGCACAGATAATCATAGAGATGCTATAGAATATGTTGTCTTAATGTCCTTCTCAGTGTATGAAAACTCTACATTCACAATGATGATTTTATAACACAAAATTAACACTCCAGAATTTTAAAACACTACAGCATGTTAAATGGACCATAAACCACTCACATAATCTTGGAAGTCTACAAGTGCCCCCTGACAGTATGTATACAAACCAGGCAGCCCTGCCCCACAGCCAAGCTGAAGTAAATATAGATATCAAAGCAAAATATACAGGAAGATGGCCAATATGACAAACAGACTAACAAATAAACAGACAGACAAATACAAAAATAGATAAGTTAAATGATCATAAATTTTTAAAGATAAAATGTTAAAATAAACTTCTACTTAGTTTTAAACACCAAATGTCTAATATAATCATATGAAGTAATAATACAAATGTAAAAATAAATTGAAAAATTAACCACAAACAATGCTGATGTCTACCTCTAGAACTTTCAATCCTCTAAATGCCAGTTTTAAGCCAGACAGGTAGTGTGTCAAGTCCACAGAACACTCCCATACCTTGAGGCCACCTGCAAGAGTTGTAGGCATTAAGTGTCCTTTTTCTTTCTTTCTAAGTTTTCTAATCTGCATTTACTGTTATTACCTTTCCTTGCATTCTCATCTCTCTCGAAATGAATTTATTTGGGGGGGTGGGGGGACAGAATGTTTCAGTATCTCAAAAGAATGTAAAATGTGCATATGTTTTCTATTATGAAAATAATAAGACATGCAAAGTGAGATAAGAAAAATTCCAAGAAGTGCTCAACTGATAAATGTCTACTTGCAATTCATTTACAACTGTTTAAGTATTAGCAAGTGTGTGGCTCATTTTTGCTTTCAACCAAATGTCATTTTCATAATCAGCTAAACTTGTATCTCATTAATTCTTTTTCACCCATAGTAAATTTACCTTCATATACATGTGGAATAAGATCAGAATTAGATGAATTAGCCCTAACAATGACTGAGTCTGTTTTCTCCTGATTCAGCCTGTCTTGTATATCTTCAGCACTGCAATATTTCACCTCCTCCCCCTCTGATGTTGTCAGTGTTTCCATAGCAACGTCTTCTAACTGCAAAGAATCAGAGAATGAGGTAATTTGATAGAAAAGAAGATTTTTGAAATCTATAACTCAGACTTCTGCTGGTGCTAGAAGAAACTGCAACAATATCTGAGAGTAAAACACAGCTGATGAATTTTCTAATTGAAAGAAAATTAAATTATGTACCTTCATGCTAACAGATACACTGTACAAGTAACATCCCACTGTTACAGCTTTTCTCAGTGCATTTACATCATCTATTTACTCTCTAAACTAGCAAGGAAAATTACAAGGGTTCTAGAATTTGTAAGGGAAATGATGTGGGATGAACCACAAGGTATCGGTAATAAAATGTTCAAAACATGGATTTTACAATTATTATAATACTGATATGACATAGTATGGGTAAATTATGTCTTATTCATGTAGAGAAAATTTATTTCTTGCTCTGGATCAGAAATTCACTTATTAAATAAAATAAATGTCTCAAATGACTGCAAATAAAGTATGGGCATTCACCTGTAACTTTTCTTCTTCATACTCGAGTTCCACTGCCTCAGCAACTGCCAACATTTCAGCCTTTTTCTCCAGCACAGGGACAACTCCTGAATATATCATGTCAGATCTATCAGTTATATTTTAATGACTGGTTTTAATACCTCCACAAAATCTGCATTTGTTTGTTATACTGGGGGTAAATGTATATACAGTACATGTATGTATAAATTTATATGATAGGGAGCTGAAAGGGATAAAGTATAAGATTTTAAACACATATTTTACTGAAGTCTACATAAACAACTTCTTCTTGAAGTTATCTCTGGGCAATTAATACTTTTTGCTCAATTTTATTCTGTAGTTACCAAAAGAATAAGTATCTGTAGTAGTCTGTAGCCACTCGGGTTTACTTCAATTCTACTTATCTTTACTATAACTGAAATACTGCAGTAGTAACAATTAAAATGTTTAGTTGTACTCTGCAGCCTGTTAATAAATCCTGTCACTCAAATCTCACCTCCATTGACTTCCTCGGCTATGCCACTGTCGTCTTGATTAAAATTAAACCTGAAAGCCATCAGATTTGAAATGCATGCACCAAAAACGACTCGATACAAATAAACGTTATGACGGTAATAACAAAACACACGTGTTGGTTCTCTACAAATTGGAGATTTGATCGAGATTGATACCAAACTTCCGGCACAATGACTGTCACAACTAGCACAATTTGTAATCAAGAGCGAATGAACTTAAACCCACCCTCTGCTGTCACACTGATTGGTTTATCAACCTGGTTAATGAACATAAATATGTAGAAAACAACGAAAAATAACACAATTGTTTATCTCATGAGCGAAGCCTCTGAAACTTATAGGCACTACTCAGAAATTAAGCAATTTAAATCTAAATGAGGCAGAAAAAAGAAAGGCGTATCAGCAATTATAGGAAAGTTATGCTTCTTAATAGATAACACCCTTTCACGCGAGAGAAAATAATATATAACTTCCCAGAACTTGTCAGAAAGGTACATATGTGACATCGGGATCAACTCATCTTCGGACACCCCCGCTGACAAGCAAACTTTACTGATTCGTTCACCTTAAAGACTAGTGACTTTCATGCAATGTGTTCGCCTGCTATGGAATGTAACAACTTTCACTGCCAGGTGTTTGATGTGCTAAAAACAATTTGGCCTAAGTCTTACCGTCAAGAGGGTGCGGTTGAAAACTTGTACCATTATGGCAGTTAAGTCACGTGATTGGTTGGCACGCTAGCCTGAGTTTCAAATCCAATTCATCACTTTCAAATGTTTTAACATTAAACTATATACCTGTTATGAAACAGGTGACCTTAAGCGGGCCAGAGGTCAACTATTCAATATACGACCACGGAAACTATTAATTTCGCAACTCACATTCCCATTAATAGAGACACGGAATCCCGAAGACGATTTTAAGGCGTTTGCTATTGAAAAAAGTCTGCAGAAGGAGCATTTATACTGCTTCATCATGTAAATTCGGCAGAGTGAACTTTAAATGATTAAGACAGAATGTAGGCCCTACTGGTTAGGATTTCACAGCGTAATCAACTGGACTGTTTAATTCTAGTGCTTATTTTCGTTTTTATTCATCATTCTATTATACCAAAGGAAAAGGGTGCGATGTTTGCTCTCATAATAAAGTGCATTTTATGATTGATCTAGTATATATATATATCACTTTAATTCATATCTCAATTTCATTAATAGTACACATTATCACGCACAGAGACTCAAGGGCAAATAGACAAAGATGTTCTCATAATCTTTATTCTCTCTTTGTCGAATTCACTGATATATCATGATATAAAAACTGGACAATATCTGAATTCGAATTCAATTCGGAGGCACTGGGATCTGAAAAAGAAGAAATGGTACATATCAACATAAAATGTTTACTATAGTGCTATAAAAAGAGACGTAGAAGCTGAGGGGACATAGGCGGCACACTTCTGCACTAGATATCCAGGATATAAAGCTTATATATTAAATATCTGAGTAATGTATTTCTATGCCTGCATTTAATGTTAATCGCAATGCGGATGACTGTGTTTGTTTAAAACGCTATTGTGGAAACTTGCATGTTTCTGTGTAAATTTTACCGTTTTACCTCGAAGTTTTGCGTACTTACTTCTCTTGAAAGCCATTGAACTTTAACTGGCATCTAACCAAGAAGATTCACATTGCAAACGGCGTTCCAGCTGTAATAGCTTCCTTTCTTCAAGCCGCTGATAGCGGATCCTGGAGCACATTTCTGGACCAAAGCGCGGCCGTTGGTGCAGAAGACGAGGGTATTAGAAGATCTAGCGTAAACACCATCTACACCACAGGCACCTACACGTACATATAGAAATATAAGGATTTAGATGTGAGTCTTTTTTTATCACTGGCGTTTATTTCCGGTTTAAGTTTATGTTAATAATTTTTAGAATTCCAAAAGTGAATGAAATTCCATCACACTGTAAAGCAGTAGGAAGAATTTTGAACTAGTTGCACATACAGTTTCAGCGACGCATGCGCATTTTGGAAAATCCGAAAATGCTTAAGCGAGCAGCTAAAGCGGTGACAGAGAGAAGAGTTGTGAATTCTAAGTGTCGAAAAAGATTTTATACCACTGGATCTCCACACTGAAAACGTATGGAATACTTTCATTAAAACAATGCCTACCAGCGAGAAAACGTTCTACAATGAGTCAGAATTATGACAAATGGTAAAGATATTTAAATGTCTAACCTGTATCAGGCGTTACCTAAAGTTTGCAAAAGTATCATGCTGCATTACCTTTATAAGATCCGTAGTAGCGGTAACGGCCAAAGTAACGACGAGGGCCGTAGCGGTAGGATCTTAGGTTGTAACCTCTGCGATAATAACCCCTTCTGGCGATGGAAAATAAAACGGTACAACTAAAAGTTTTAAGGTTGACGAATTCGAGCTGTGTTTAACATGATTAAAAGTGTAGAAAAAAATCGAAAATTCAAACCACAAATGACCACTGACTCGTACATACAATTTTACGTATAAACAAGGCGAAATGTAATGTACGTACGTAGCAGTAATGCCTTCAAGTATAAAGACATAAACGCAGCACTTCCATCATCAAACCGTTGTAGAGGACACTCAAATAACTTCAGTGCAATCATGTAAAATGAACAGTTTTTGCCCCATTTGTATATTCTAATAAGCTTAATGTTTTCTGTTTAGATCAATGTCGAAATGAATACATTTGCCAGCAGATATTAATAGTGATTTTAAAATATCTCCTCATAAGAAATCTTTCATAAGACTTCTGAAACTATCACAAGATTCAAAGGAAAAAAAGAACAGGAATAAGTCACTGAACTTGTGACTGAAGCCTAAGAAAGAAAAGAGCTGCAACAATTCGAATAATTGTGTGTTACTTCAACAGACAAATGGCGCAGTGGACAAATAAATAATTGAAATGAAATAATAAAAACAATAATTGTAAACGAAAATTTAAAGAAATGTAAATAATAGTGCTACATGTACACCTACTGATGGCGTAGTTTAGACAATACTGTACACAGTGAATTTAACAGACAGCGTTTATCTAAATAGATTGATAACAAACTTACGATCCAAGCCACCTCTTGTTGGCGCTAACACAAGCCACAGCCACCAGGGCAAACAGCAGAAACAAGGCAAACTTCATGGTCGAGGTATGGATGGACAGGATCAGATAAAAAACAACTGATAGCCGTTCATGTCGGTGGGTGGCCTTTTTATAGTCAGCCCGAGGCAAGCCCTTTTTATGATAATAACAATCATCGTTTTCCTGATTATTGTCTTACGGTTCGCGTGTCTGTTTGTTTTGCTCTATGTAATGAGGAATGATGTCATTGTAAATGGTTCAAGATTTTCTGGACGACATAACTTAAGTGATTTAAAACAATCACTCTTTATTCTATACGTACGGTCATTTTGTCAATATGATAATGATAATGTTCTCTCTATAGCCGTTGGCAATTGATCTGGCTTCCACGATATCCATATAATTTTGTTTACCCTGTTTATTAATTCAAAATTATGACTTTTTCGCACGCATATCTATCATTCCACTTTTATGTTTCTTTGAGATATATAAAAAACATATATAAATAAAATTAATAAATAAAGAGCAACAGTCAAAGAAGGACCGACCCCCCCCCCCCTCCCCCACCATTCTACTGACCAGATGAGATCAGATGAGTTTTATTTTTAAATCAATGGCAGGACATCAATTCCAATTTGACAGTTTTTAGTATAATGTGGATTGACACGCACCAGTCAAAGACGGATCGACCCCACCCCACCTCATTCTGTTGATCATCACACAAAGACAAGATGGGTTTTATTTTTGAATTAATGACCAGGACATCAAGTTTAATTTGGCAATTAAGGCTTTGTTGTATAACGTAAATTGACACGCAAGTCCACTCTTTTAGTTCCTTTGGCCGACTATTAAGAGTTGCGACTGTTCCGGGGGCTATTTACCTTAAAGTAATCTCTGGACAATGGCCTCGGTCAGCGAAGGACTAATGTTTATAAAACCTCTATAAAGGCCCATTCACAACAAAATGTTCATTCTGCGAAGCTCGATCCAACTCTGCAGGGACTTGCGCTGAGTGCAATAAGATTAAAAGATTCTCACGCCCCTCCTGGCATTGAGAAGAACACTAAAAAGCTGGGGATTATACGAGTACGTTGGAAACAAGAGGAGGCGTGTCATTCAATTAATCTGATTGCACTCAGCAAGAGTTCCCGAGGATCTGGATTGATATACCTATCACGATAGTTACATTGGGAATGGGCCTTGGGTGTGTGTGTGTGTGTGTGTGTGTGTTTGTGTGTGTGTGTGTGTAAAGGTGTGTACTCGAGTATATCTTTAAGCCTACTTGTGCATGTACACACGTAACTTCTGTTCTATATGCAAATCACGGGTAAACGACATTTGCAGTAAATCTTCATGATCAGATATTAGGTTTCAGCTGTCACCAGTGCAGCCCATGCCCATTGTTCTAGTAAAGAGGGTCTTCACGTGCGCGGCTATAGCTTTACGTGGGTACGCGTGACCGCGTTTTGTTTTGTGCTTCATCGTGTATATCCTGATGTCTTAATTTTCAAGTTTTTTTAAAATGCAGAATGTATATGTTGTCGACATCGACAAATCTCAAGCCTCACAACCGGCCGTGCGGGCTCTTACGGGCTGTTTGCGTCCAAATTTTGCGCAGAATCTCACGTCCCACGCAAGTCCTTCTTACGCAATTTCGAGTTCGCAGACAGCCCGTAAGCACGTACGGAGGATGTTAGACATGTCCAAAAGATTCTACGAATAGCCTGCGAACACCGAGGCCGCAAGCGTAACTTGCTCTCCTCGCACGGAATTAGCAAGAGACGCGCGTTGTGCAAGACGCACGTTGCAAGCAATGAAGGAGCAAGTGCCCTTTGCGTGTTGAGTAAGGCGCACGCCCCCACAACTAACGAACAAAGTCGAGAGCACACCAGGGCTGCGTAGCACGTGCGTCACCCCCATCCCTGGTGTATAAAAGGCTTGCTCACGACGCACGCTCGTGTCTTTACAATAAACGTCGACTGTGTAAAGTGTACAATAATTTTCAAAATTTCAAATTTTTGCTCACTTTAGTTTCTAATATGCCTCCAAAAGGCAAGAGTAAGTAGCTTACATAGTAGAAAAAAGGGAGTAGGAAGAAGAAAGAAGAGGAGAACAGGAAGCAAAACTGACGTACGCCGTCAGTACGTCACCACAAACGTGTGTGGCAAGTGTGAAGCAAAACTGACGAAAAGGGTACTACTTTCGCCGTGCGTTGCATTTCCTTCGTAAGTGGTGAGTGTGTGCCACGTACAAAGGAAGCAAGACAAACTCAGGAAATGAGTACAATTTCCACGGCCCTCCGTACTTGCAATTAGCCTCCCTGTTTGAAAGGACATCTCATGTGGCCCTTGCGACTCGCAAGGCAGACTTTCCTCTACCTCTACGACCTCCACGGCCTCGGCAACACCCAAAAATCGCAGGGGACGTACGATCCTGAAATTCGTGCGTCCGGTTGTGACCGAGGCTTCAACTAACACAATGTAGCTTTAATATATGAATGTTTGAGCAGTCACGGGCAGGTACAAAAGTATGCGCATTCTCGTACAGGGCGGTCAGGACGATTTTCTGTTTATAACAAAATATATATCATTTTGATTATATTTTTGCTTTCTTTCGTTGGTACTACACTTAATTTGTTCATATCTGTATAAATATGGATAATATTAGTAGAGAAGGTAAAATTGTCATCACCTTTACGTACATGTAGTTTGGAGTAAGACAGGTGATACATGTATTGTTCATCCTTTTTATCGCTATACACATGTGCAAACTTGTTATATTCTAGTTTCATATTATTTTAGACAATCCTGTTTTTCCTGGCCGCAATGTTCTGCCGTTTAAGTAAATGTTGTCAAATATAGCGTTAGTGTCCATTGTTAAATAATGGAGAATATTAAACTAACAATATTCAAGTGTGCATTTATATTGCTACATGTAATAGCCATTGCCGTAATCTAAATGTACCGTTGTTCGCTCTCTCTATTTTTTGTGCTCCACTTTATAAGATTTCAGTCACTTGTTATTTATTTTTTCATTATTATCAATGTATTTCTTTCTTTTTATTTTTTAAGTTTCACCATAGCGAATTAGAATTGCGTACTATACATGTATAGCACAGCGTATTATATAGTATAGCGTGCATTTCCTTCTTTTTTCTGATTTCTCAATATCGAAGGAAAAGGGATGTTTTTGCTAGCTCTCATGATAAGGTAAATTTAAAAATTGACTCAACTATACATACCTAGATATCTTATGCTCAATATATTTCAATATCATTGATAGTACAAAATGTCACACACACAGACGCATGAGTAAAAATTTCAAACACTTTATTCTTTCTATGCCGAATTTGCAGACAAAGCATGATGTAGAAATCGGACAATTTTATCAATTGCAATATACCCTGTAGTTCGGAGGCGAAAGTCTGCTCTGAAAAAGAAAAAAAAAATGGTATACATTAGCGTCACACATGTGTAGTGCAGATCGTGAGACAAAATTGCGACGGAGGGGACGAAGAGACGAAAGTGATTGACGTCCTCTTCTAGTTATCCTAGGTTCGTCAGTGACAAATAACTAATTGTGCAATCACCAAATATATAAACGCCCAACGCACTACTTTTTTTTAATTATCCGAAAAAGCGAATTTTGCTGTTCAGTTTGCTACAGATTAGTGTCCGTACTGTCCGGAGCCCATTACGTGATAGATAAATAATTCACATGGGGCGTTAATATTTTGCTCAGTATATATTTGAAATCTACGTTGTGTATTTTATGTCTGTATATGTTACAATGAACGCTATGCGCACCACTTAATATACGTGTTTTATGTGGTTTTTAACTTCTTACCACGAATTATTGTGAACTTACCTTGCCTCGAAGACATTTGAATCTAACCAATAAGATTCACATTGCAGACGGCGTTCCAGCTGTAAAAGCTTCCCTTTTTCAAACTGCTGATAGCAGATCCTGGAGCACATTTCTGGGTCAAAGCACGACCGTTGGTGCAGAAGACGAGGGTATTAGATGATCTAGCGTAAACGCCGTCTGGACCACAAGCACCTACATATACATATATATGGAAATATAAGGCTTTAGGTATGAAGCGTGATGTCCTTGCAAAATGAAGCAGCGCATAATAGATGTCTTGGTTTATTCTTTTGGCCATGATACTTGGCCGTGATCTTAATATGCTAGTTTTCTCACTAAGTTTTATCCAGTTGTATAGCTCGTGTTAACCTTGTGTACTTTCTCTCTAGGTAAATGCAATGTTAATTAGCATTATGCAAAGCGTTTGAGGAATTTGTGGGCATCTTGCGAAATTCGAAAATGCATTAGCGGTGACAGGCAGAGAGATTGGATAATCAAGTGCTGAAATACATGTTAGATCGTTGGATCGGTACGTTTATGAATTCCTGCATCCAAGCTATGTCTATTATTGTGAAGGCGTACAACAAGAAAACGTATGCCAAATGCTGAAGATATCTTAAATGTTTAACCTGTAGCAGACGCCATAAAAAGGTCACAAAATAAATGTAGGTAAAATATTTGTAGTATTATGTTCTGAACCCAGATTATGTTGTTTACCTTTATAAGCTCCATAGTAACGGTAGCGATATCCATAACGACCATAGAATGGGAAACGGCGGTACCCATATCTGTAACCATAGCGATAGTAGCCTGGGTAGTAACCTTTGCGGTAGTAACCTGGGTAGTAGCCTTTGCGGTAGTAACCTCTTCCGCGGAGGATGTCACTATAAAAAAATAATACTTGTAGTTACAATCAGAATTTTAAGGCAAACGAGATCGAGCTGGGTTTAAGTGAAGAAAAAAGGTTGGAAAATTCAAATAAAATCGGTGTGATTTGTTTCTTCCCCCCCCCCCC